TCTCCACAGATAAACATGAAAACTTGTCTTAACTCTTATACTGGTTTCCTGCATAATGGGTGTTGTTTTTCATTGTTTTCATCAGTGGACAGAATTGTGGGATTGGACAAAGTGGCCGGAATGGCTGAATCCTTGCATGGAGCCGTCAAGACTCGTAAAGGAATGTTCCGGACCGTAGGACAACTGTACAAGGAGCAGCTGACAAATCTGATGACCACTCTCAGAAACACCAACCCTAACTTTGTCAGATGCATCATCCCCAATCATGAGAAGAAGGTATGAAGAGAAAAATCTTCAAAACGTTTGTATAGCCTGATGGCTCATGTTTCTTTTGAGGCCTCTAACAATTTAAGTCATTGCTTTTCACCTCTAGGCTGGTAAATTGGCACACCATCTGGTTCTAGATCAACTACGGTGTAATGGAGTTCTAGAAGGCATTCGGATCTGTAGACAAGGGTTTCCCAACCGCATTGTCTTCCAGGAGTTCAGACAAAGGTATTTGGATTTTCATGAATGCTAAGTATTTGGACTGCTTATATATCATGTAGCAGGAAATAGAATTGCTTCGGTTTGACTATTTAGTATCTATAGACTTCTTAAATATTTTATTGGACAATTCCGGTTTTAATGCAAGTAGAAAACTTTTTTTTTTTCCTGAAGTATGCTCACTTCAGGGACTTTAGTAAGATTTTTACCTGTAAAGATTTTAGATTCATCATGCGTTAATTTAAAAAAAATCTTGTATAATTTTAACTGCTGTATTTTTGTTTGTTTGTTTTTTTTATTTTGTGTTTGTATATTATTCCAACTCCGTTTTTGCCATGAAGATAGCCTTGGATGCTGACATGTCAAAAAAAAAAAAAAACTACTACTGTATAGACTACTGAAACTATCTTAGTCTCTAATTTATTCTCCCCTAATATAATTTCAGATATGAGATCCTCGCACCAAATGCCATCCCCAAGGGCTTTATGGATGGAAAGCAGGCCTGTGTCCTCATGGTAAGAGTTAATGCACACCGTTATGAAACTCCTCAGCTTTGACAATTGATACTTTTTGTTGAAAATTTGTTAAGTTGTCGATCGCATATATCATTTTGTTTCTCTCTCTCTCAGATCAAAGCCCTGGAGCTGGATTCTAACTTGTACCGTATAGGTCAGAGTAAAGTGTTCTTCAGGGCTGGAGTTCTTGCCCACCTGGAAGAGGAGAGAGATCTGAAGATCACTGATGTCATTATCACTTTCCAAGCCTGGTGTAGAGGCTATGTCGCTAGGAGGTAGATATTTTTAAATATTTAATTTTGTAAAGATCACTTTTCCATGACACTACAGCTAGGAGAGACTGAAGTGTTAAAAATGACTTTAGCTTTTAGGGATGCACCGATATTAAAATTCTGGCCGATACTGATAAGCTGCCAACTTTATAAGTGATTTTGAAATGTCTTGGACAACAGATGTCTGTAAGGTGTTAATTGAACAGGACTCCTTGACAATGACAAATTGGGGTTTGTTTTACGTAGAGCCTTTGCCAAGAGGCAGCAGCAGCTGACGGCCATGAGGGTGATCCAGAGGAACTGTGCAGCCTACTTGAAACTCCGGAATTGGCATTGGTGGAGACTCTTTACCAAGGTACACATCCAGATTCATAAACCTGTATGTTTATTAGATCAATAAGAGATCTAAAAACAGTGTCCACTTTTTTTCTCTTTTCAGGTGAAGCCTTTGCTGCAGGTGACCAGACAGGAAGAGGAAATGGTCGCTAAAGAAGAAGAGCTGGTTAAGATGAAGGAGAGACAGCAGCAGGCTGAGGACCAGCTCAAAGAGTTCGAGGCCAAACAACAGCAGGTAAATATGGTGGTGTGTTTCCTCTACTTCAAGATGGTTTATTTTTTTTCTTGGTGTTCATAACCTTATCAGATATTTCCTTGTTAAAGTTTAATGCAGAGAAGATGGCACTGCAGGAGCAGTTGCAGGCAGAGACAGAGCTGTGTCAAGAGGCTGAAGAGATGAGGGCGCGTCTTGCTGCACGCCAGCAGGAGCTGGAGGAGATCCTGCACGACCTGGAGGCCCGCGTGGAGGAGGAGGAGGAGCGAGCCAATCACCTGCAGGGCGAGAAGAAGAAGATGCAGCAGAACATCGCCGATCTGGAGCAGCAGCTGGACGAGGAGGAGGCGGCGCGGCAGAAGCTGCAGCTGGAGAAGGTAAGTTCTTGCCCACCTGGAAGAGGAGAGAGATCTGAAGATCACTGATGTCATTATCACTTTCCAAGCCTGGTGTAGAGGCTATGTCGCTAGGAGGTAGATATTTTTAAATATTTAATTTTGTAAAGATCACTTTTCCATGACACTACAGCTAGGAGAGACTGAAGTGTTAAAAATGACTTTAGCTGCTTGTTTTTAGGGATGCACCAATATTAAAATTCTGGCCGATACCGATAAGCTGCCAACTTTATAAGTGATTTTGAAATGTCTTGGACAACAGATGTCTGTAAGGTGTTAATTGAACAGGACTCCTTGACAATGACAAATTGGGGTTTGTTTTACGTAGAGCCTTTGCCAAGAGGCAGCAGCAGCTGACGGCCATGAGGGTGATCCAGAGGAACTGTGCAGCCTACTTGAAACTCAGGAATTGGCATTGGTGGAGACTCTTTACCAAGGTACACATCCAAATTCATAAACCTGTATGTTTATTAGATCAAGAAGAGGTCTAAAAGCAGTGTCTCCACTTTTCTCTTTTCAGGTGAAGCCTTTGCTGCAGGTGACCAGACAGGAAGAGGAAATGGTCGCTAAAGAAGAAGAGCTGGTTAAGATGAAGGAGAGACAGCAGCAGGCTGAGGACCAGCTCAAAGAGTTCGAGGCCAAACAACAGCAGGTAAATATGGTGGTGTGTTTCCTCTACTTCAAGATGGTTTATTTTTTTCTTGGTGTTCATAACCTTATCAGATATTTCCTTGTTAAAGTTTAATGCAGAGAAGATGGCACTGCAGGAGCAGTTGCAGGCAGAGACAGAGCTGTGTCAAGAGGCTGAAGAGATGAGGGTGCGTCTTGCTGCACGCCAGCAGGAGCTGGAGGAGATCCTGCACGATCTGGAGTCCCGCTTGGAAGAAGAGGAGGAGAGAGTCTCACAGTTTCAGACGGAGAGGAAGAAAATGCAACAGAACATCACTGTGAGACAGCAAGTTTGATAAAATAGTTTGCATTTGGGAGATCAGTGCTTTAGAGCTTCTTATTGAAAATACTCTTTACTTGTAATTGAAAAACCTAAAATCCTTTCCTAGGATCTGGAGCAACAACTGGATGAGGAGGAAGCAGCCAGACAGAAGCTGCAGTTGGAGAAAGTCACCATGGATGCCAAGCTGAAGAAGATTGAGGAGGAAATTATGGTTCTTGATGACCAAAACACCAAACTTAACAAGGTCTAACAAACGTGTTATGCTTTTACATTCATCAACAATGTAGTTTCAATTCACTATTCAGTAATTGTGGAGGGACTCAAAAGAAATTTAACCTGGTTCTGATTCCACCATATGATATTGGCTCCTGACAATTAATTCAATGCTACACGCAACAAATGCTGTAGTAGTATTTCACTACAACTAAAATTGTTACCCAAAAATGAGTTTAACTACAGTTGAGATGAGTGACTTTTCTAAAAAAAGAACCATTTCTCGATTTCCAACCCAGATATAAAGTCAGCCATTACTCCAACCCACCTGCAGGGACTGCATGAGGTGTCCATTTATCTGCTGCAAAAACTATTTTGTGCTTGTCCTGATAGTTGTGTGTTGGCATCTGTGCTTGCAGGAGAAAAAGCAGCTGGAGGAGAGAATGTCTGAGTTCACCACTAACCTGGCTGAAGAGGAAGAGAAATCCAAGAGTTTGCAGAAACTCAAGAACAAACATGAAGCCATGATTACCGACCTGGAGGGTAAGCGTTTTCAGGACCTTGAAATAATTAAAAAGTTTTTTTTTTTCTCTAAAGTCAGCCCAAGAATGCTGATTGGGGGAAAAAAAACTCTATTTGCAGCAACAAAGAGTTATGTTGCAGTGTTCTCTTTTCTCCATCGCCGTACATTTTTGCTTTTTTTCAGTCTTTGACATGTTAAATGTCCACTCTCTTAGATCGTTTAAGGAAGGAAGAGAAGCAGAGGCAAGAGTTGGAGAAGAGTAGACGGAAGTTGGAGGGTGACTCTACAGAGCTGCATGATCAGATTGCAGAGCTGCAGGCTCAGATCGCAGAGCTCCGTGCTCAACTGGCCAAGAAAGAGGAAGAGCTCCAGGCTGCACTAGCAAGGCGAGTAAAACTTGTAACAAAAAAAACTTATCAGAGGTTACTGGAGGATTTAACTTCCATTTCATCAGTCTATCACTTCCATATTTGTCATTTAGGCCTAACACTTTCCCTAACACGTTTTTCATTTCTTGGTACATTTTTGTAATTTTTTCCCCCCACTGTAGGATTGAGGAGGAAGCTGCACTTAAGAATGCTGCCCAGAAGAACATTCGTGAGTTGGAGGCCCAGCTCTCAGAGCTGCAGGAAGATCTGGAGCTGGAGAAAGCTGCTCGTGCTAAAGCTGAGAAACACCGCAGGGACCTGGGAGAAGAACTGGAGGCTCTAAAGACAGAACTTGAGGACACACTGGACTCTACTGCAGCTCAGCAGGAACTCAGGTCAGCCATGAGGAAAACTGACTGGGCTAGTGAAGACCTGACTTGAGATATTTTGCTTCATCAAATAATCTGTACTTTTGTGTTTAATTTATGACTGGTAATTACAGTTGGATTATCTGTGATGGAAATTGTGCAAGGGTAGCATGTCATTCTTATGGGAAAATGAAGGTACTACTGCGCTGTCCTATATCAGCTTCAAGATTCTTCTCTTCCTATCTGAAGGGCAAAGAGAGAGACTGACGTGGCTCAGCTGAAGAAGATTCTGGAAGATGAGGCTCGTTCACATGAACAGATGCTAGTTGAAGTGCGACAGAAACACAACCAGGCCTTTGAGGAGCTCAATGAACAGCTTGAGCAGGCCAAAAGGGTGAGATCACATGCTTCTCCTAAACCATCGAGGCTGTTAATGATGCTGCTTTGAAAATTAGGAATGGCAGTTTTTTTTTTGTTTTGTTTTTTTTAAAGCGATTTTTAAAAAGGTGGCACTATAATTAAAATATGTAGCAATGTTGCATATTGTATGTATTAAGCACTCTTAGCACTTTTTAGAAAAAGATGACCACTGTGTTTTTCATATTTGACCAGTTTATTTTAAGGTAGTGTTTCCCTGAGAAGTCTGGATTTTCTTTACATCCACAAAAGCAAACTGTGCAGAAAAATGTTGACTAACTTTCACTGTTGGATCCCTCAGAGTAAAGCATCTGTGGACAAAGCTAAACAGGCTCTGGAGAGTGAACGCAATGAACTTCAGATCGAACTTCAGTCATTGTCACAAGGCAAAAATGAATCCGAGCACCGCAGAAAGAAAGCAGAATCGCAGCTTCAGGAGCTACAGGTCAAACATGGAGAGAGTGAGAGACAGAAACAGGAACTGGCGGATAAAGTGTCGAAAATGCAGGTATTGAAACTAAAAGGATCTTGTAGAGATTTTTACATTTTGATACACTTGGATAATTGCACATTTTAGTGGAAATTTGTGCCTAGTTGAAAATCTTATAATTTTGTGTGTCAATGTTTAGGTGGAGCTCGAAGCTATACAGGGCACCCTGAGCAAGGTGGAGAGCAAATCCATCAAAGCTGCAAAAGATTGTTCTACTGTTGAATCTCAACTTAAAGACACACAGGTACAATTTGGTCATGCACTATTGTGCACAATTCACACACCCTTTTGTCACTGAAGGTTGCTGAGTGACTGTTGGTCAGAAGTGTTATTAGTCCTGCTTGCCCTAACATGAATGGTGAACTTTCACAGATGTGTTTTACCGGTGTTGCTGATAAAAATAAAACTTTATTCCGTTTTTCAAAAGTTAGTTTATATATTTTCTCTGTGGATAGGCGTTATTGGAGGAGGAGACCAGGCAGAAGCTTGCGCTCTCCACTCATATTCGGCAACTGGAGGATGAGCAGAACAACCTGAAAGAGATGCTGGAGGAGGAAGAGGAGAGCAAGAAAAATGTTGAAAAGCAGCTGCACACGGCTCAAGCTCAGGTGTGTGCACCCCTGAGTCTGTGGACACATTCTTCTAGATGATGATGCTGATCTAGAAGCAGTTTGTGTTTGAAAGAACTGTTCTTATTGTTTTTGCTTTTGTTTCTCAGTTGGCAGACATGAAGAAAAAGGTTGAGCAAGAGGCCCAGAGCCTGGAAAGCATGGAGGACTGGAAAAAGAAATTGCAGAGGGAGGTGGAAAGCATCATGCAGCAGTTGGAGGAGAGGAATGCCGGCTACGATAAACTGGAGAAGACCAAGACACGTCTGCAGCGGGAGCTAGATGATGTACTGATAGACCAGTCTCACCTGCGGCAAACCGTTCAGGAGCTGGAACGTAAACAGAAGAAGTTTGACCAGGTAGAGAACTGTTAATGGAAAAAATCGTGGATATTTTGAATGCTACTTCTCTGGGGTTTTTTCTACAAAGTTTAAAAAATAATTTATCATTCAATCACCTTAAGTGATAAAATACCTCAATCTGTGCAGATGCTGGCAGAGGAGAAGAACATCTCTCAGAAGTATGCAGAGGAGAGGGATCGTGCTGAGGCAGAGGCCCGTGAGAAGGAGACCAGAGCCCTGACTCTGACTCGAGAGTTGGAGGCCATTACTGACTTGAAGGACGAACTGGAGAGGGTCAACAAGCAGCTCAAAACTGAGATGGAGGACCTGATGTCATCCAAAGATGATGCTGGCAAGAGTGTATGCGAAACTTAAGCATTACATGTATTTTAAGACAACAGCTCTGTTCCAAAACCTAATAAGCTGCCAACTTAGACAGCAATTATCCTTACAACATGCTAACTGTTTTGGAACCGAGCTAATATTGTCTACATGCCATTGCCAAAACGGCTATTAATTTCTAAAGATGTAATTAATTCATTAAGGATTTTGTAAGTGAATTTGATCAATTGTGAAGTCATTAATAGAAAATGTACAATCTCTGAAGGTCTTGCTCATTGTGGTAAAGCAGAATGCTTTTGGCATGTGGTAAGATTTCATTAGGATCAATTGATTAAAAAAATATGACTATCCAGTGTGCTTTGGCAGTTATGGTGCAGTTTGCTAAAAGTGGTGGTCATGATTTATACTTGCCCCTTATCTTAGTTGTGCACAATCTTTCGTTCTTTTCTTTTAAGGTGCATGAACTTGAGCGGGCCAAGCGAGGAATGGAACAGCAGTTAGTGGAAATGAAGATGCAGCTGGAAGAGCTGGAGGATGAACTGCAGCTCACAGAAGATGCCAAACTGCGCCTGGAGGTCAACATGCAGGCCATTAAGGCCCAGTTTGAGAGAGACCTGCAGAGCAGAGATGAGCAGGGTGAGGAGAAACGGAAGCAGTTAGTCAAACAGGTATGTGCTAGCCTGCCTGACTTCTCCAGAGAAATGTTAATCCATGAGATGCTGATGCATGTTGGGAAACTGGGAGATAATGCACAACTACTCATATTATGCTTGAATATGTCAGGTGCGTGAGATGGAGATGGAGCTTGAGGATGAGAGGAAACAACGGGCTCAGGCCGTATCTGTGCGCAAGAAGCTTGAGCTGGATCTGTCGGAGTTGGCTGCTCAGATCGACAATGCCAACAAGGCTCGAGATGAGGCCCTCAGACAGCTCAAGAAACTACAGGTATTCACATATACACATTCTACATGAGCATGCATCACTTTTGTATTAAAGTGGTGGGGACGTTTTCTGGTTTCAAGAACCAGAAATCAGATCTGTACTTTTGCATTTCAAATAAAATGACAATTGGAGCACATGCAATATGGTTTCAATATGGTATCCATGTCATTTCCTCTCTTGGTTTGCAGGCCCAGATGAAAGATCAGATGAGAGAGTTTGAGGATCTACGCCTATCCAGAGACGAGGCTCTTAACCAGGCCAAAGAAAACGAGCGCAAGATCAAGAGCATGGAGGCTGAGATCATGCAGCTGCATGAGGTTTGTCTTGTTTGATCAGAATTGTGCTGCAACTAGGGTCAACTTGATTGTTTGTTAGTTTAGAAGAATAAAGTCATTTTTAAAAGAATACGGATGTGGTAAACGTTTCCTATTTTTGTCTCCGTAGGATCTGGCTGCTGCTGATAGAGCAAAGAGACAAATTCAACAAGAACGAGATGAGCTGCAGGATGAGATCAATAGCCAGAATGCCAAGAAGTGAGTTACCTGTTGTTATTGTGATGTATTGTTTGGTAGGGTATCCTGCATCAGACAGTTAGTCCAAGAAATCGAAGTGTATTCGGTATCTTACTGGGTTCAATGGTTTAAATGGTGTATTCTTTTTCTCCATCAGCTCGCTGAGCAGCGATGAGAAGAGGAGACTGGAGGCACTTATTGCTCAGCTTGAGGAGGAACTTGAGGAAGAACATCTCAATGTGGAACTGGTCAATGATCGACTGAAGAAAGCTACACTGCAGGTAGAGTACCGAGAGCTTCAGGAGATGACGGCTGAGATTGGGAACACTTCAAACAGTGTTCATCGTGACTCTCTGTGGCTTTATTCTGGTTCAACGTCAGGCTGAGCAGGTTACAGTGGAGTTGACTGCAGAGCGTGGTAACAGTCAGCGTCTAGAGGGTTTGCGCGCTCAGCTGGACCGCCAGAACAAGGACCTAAAGCAGAAGCTTCAGGATTTGGAGGCAACTGTGAAGAGCAAGTACAAGTCCACCATCACTGCCTTGGAGGCCAAGATCCCACAGCTTGAAGAGCAGTTGGATGTTGAGATGAAGTGAGTGATGTTAGAGATGGTTTGTGTTATATACAGCATAATTACACCTCAAATCCCCCAGTAACCTTTCAGTTGTCAGCTTGGGTTGTAAGGTCTTTATTATTAGTATCTTAACATGATGCAGCTTTCCTCAGTGATTTACTTTTGTGTCTCTAAAAACCAAACTTCATTTACTTCCTGCCAGGGAGAGGCAGCAGTCCACAAAACAGGTGCGGCGTATGGAGAAGAGGCTCAAAGAGATCTTACTGCAGGTTGATGATGAGAAACGCAATGCTGAGCAATACAAAAATGAGGTAGGCTGTGCAATCAATTTATAATACAGTAAGCTTGTTCAAACCACTGCAAAACCAAGGCAGAGTCTTAATTTGATCTTTGTATGTTCTCAATCAAAGGTGATTTGGTCCACTTGTACCAGTACAGCTAATTTAAATTAAAAGGCCTGTTTTGTTGTGACTATTAAATAGGAACATTATTACTAGTTAAAGTTTTACTCTTAATGGTGGACATCTAAAAAAATAAAATAAAAAGTAAGTATCAGTATTTTGAATTCCATTCATAATGAAATCTTCCTCTTGGTCAGACTGAGAAGCTGAACACTCGTATGAAGCAGTTGAAGAGACAGCTAGAAGAGACTGAGGAGGAAGCGGCTCGAGCTAACGCCTCCCGCAGGAAGCTGCAGAGAGAGCTGGAAGATGCCACAGAATCCGCTAGTCTTATGAACCGAGAGGTCAGCACCCTAAAGAACAAACTACGGTGTGTACTCTGCTGCTTTGTGATAGACATATCATCATTCCTCCACAAATGTTGCTTTTAAAATGAGAAATTACTGACAAAAGTCTGAAACTTTTCAGCAAATTTGTACGCTACATATTTAGTGTTATGTTTATCTTCTCTAGGCGTGGAGATTTCACTGTAAACGTACGTCGTACAGCTGGACGCTCGGGTGTGGATAGCGATGAGGAGAACGATCTGAAGAGTGAGGGGTCAGAGCCAACTCCGGAGTAAATTTCAGCATATCAAAGCTGAGCCTATGGGTGTTACAGATGAGGATCTATTATTTGCCACCAAGTTTGTCTTGTTTAAAGGAAATCTGTATGCTTTGAGGGCAACTGTATCCTTAATGGGGTTTTTGCTGCAATTTTCAGTGTTTTAAAGCAGATTTTGAGCCAAACAATTATTCGAGCCATGAGCATAACTTTGCTCCAAGATAAAAAAAAATAAAATACAAAAATAAAAATAAGGGCAAAGAAAAATCTTTCATCTTGCCACTTATCAAACTTTATCTTTCCAGTGAAACTGAAACTGTTTATTTGCCGTAATCTGTTTTACCCTGTTGATGACTGCCTTACGATGCATTTGAATAAATATTGGCTATTTATATTTTACATCAGATACAAAGTATTTATCCATTTTCAAAGTAAATTAAATGTTGGGAAATTTTTTTATAATTGATAATGGAAAGAAGTTTCCTTATGCAATAATAGTATCTAATCCAGGATTTGCAGGAATATTACTTATCAGCCAAAGAGATTATTCTTAGTTTTGTTTCAAGAGCACTTCGGCACCAATTAAGCATTTTTCCTAATAGTTTCACTGGCACCTTTCCACCTCTTCTACTCCTGTTTTAAAATTAAGACTATGCCTTAATTGCGTCAAATATTGTTAATGTATTTGAGAGTTCTCAGTTTGCAGTAATATGTGGTGTACAAATCCTAAGTTGTTGGGTTTTTTTTTTTTTTGGTTCCTTGATATTTTGAAGTTAACACTTTAGGTGGTGGGGTGTGTAAGAGTTTTCATTTGTACTCAACTGTGTTTTATATATACAGAATTTTTATTTATTTATTTTTCTCATTTTCAATGTATTTGCTAACATGATTTATCTGTCATACAGTATTTGTCTGCATTACACATTATATTTTTCCTGCTGTATGTTTCTAACAATCCATTTGGAGACTATCACAATAGGCCTATAAATTGTCAAACTTCAGTGCAATGGTAGTGGACTGACTGTATTTGGAGCAATTGAAAAGATATTTTCCAATCACTTTTAATGTCACATACGATTTCATTGCATCTGATTAAAGCTGTCTTTTGTACCCTCAATTTTACCTCCAATTTTTCCAAAGCACAGCAGTATTTCATTATAGACAATATTGATCTAGTGGTCTAATGGTTAAAGATATGCGCTGCTCATAAGACTACAGATACAAACTCGTGTGTATGTGTATGTGTATATATATATATATATATATATATATGTATGTTGCTTGTGTTAGTTGTCTCTGTGATAAATTTACTGTATTTTAAATTAGCTTCTGAGTTAGGCTCGTGGTGGGTTTTTCCATCAGTCAATGACCAATGCCAGTAATAAAGTCCAGTCTCTATTAATATGTCTTGGAGGACAATTTAAAAAGTATTTTTAACCAAGGCTTAACTTTCATTCATTTCAAAAGTGTTAGGAGTTTGGGAAGACATTTACCTCAGTGTTCCAGTGGGGGGCATCCAGCGTCTCTCCGGAGCACGTGTAACCTGCACCGCTGGAATAATCGAGCTAAAACCGGTTCTTGCCCGTTGTTCTGCAGACTGCGCAAAGAGTACGCATGAGTTACGCAAACAGCGTACAACTTTCTCGCGCAAGCGTAACTCCAAACTATGTGCTGTGCTCACGGTCTCCGCGCAGGAATGTGTTATTGAAAACTGTTGTGTAACGTACGCCTGCTGTTTCACCTCTGCTTCAATAAACATTGATTGCTTGAAACGAAAATACGCCATCTTTTGGAGATACCGGAAAACGGAACAACTGTGTGTAAGGTAAAGTTTATGGTTTATGATGGATTGAGAGGTGATTTGGCTTAACTGACAGAAATCAGCTGACGTGTGTTGCGCCACCTTCCAATATTTTCCAGTGTGTTTATTGTCAGCTTTGTATTTTACGAAAAAAAACTGTATAGGAGCAGTTGGTAAGTTAGCCGTTGCAGGACATTTGAAACGAAGTATGCTGGGCTATAGAAATTAGCATTAGCTTTTACTAAGATGTGCTTTAATAGTTTATTTTTATTTGACAATTCTGTAATTTGCTGCACATTTCTACATGCTTATGTCATATTTTATGAATTAAATGGTGGTTTCTGTATCTAAATTGGTCGGCGCTGTGTATGTACTGTTGACAGCTGTGTGTAAAGTGACAGAAAGAGCGAGAATCATGATGAAGATCAGTCCTCATTCACTCTTCCTCTTCGGTCCTTAACAGACAGGTAAACATAAAATGTAACTTAAATCTGTCTGACACACTCTCTGATTCCCCTCTGATTTTTTTCTTGGTTGTGTGTGATGGTAGCAGTGGGTTGGGTATTAAATTAATTTCTCCCTCATGCAGTCTGGAATCAAAGCTTTGACGTCTAAAACACATCACAACGGCCACAGAAGAGGTAAAAGGGAGGGAGTTGAGCTCTTCCTCTGTACAAACTTCATCATCCTCTCCGTCTGCAATGGAGATTGCCCTGGTGAGTTGGTGCTAAGGCTGTGTGCTTTAATGTAGAGCTGTTCTACTGAAGTTAAATGTGAAATGCTGAATAACCAAAAGATGAATATAATAGAATAGCCTGACATTAAACTACTTAACCTGGTCGGCTATTAAAAAGCCTATTGAAATAACCTTAAAGTTGATTCAGCAGGCCAGTCAGGTTAAGTAGTTCAATGTCATGCTATTCTAATATATTCTGCAATGCCGATTGACTGCAAAACATTAATATCAGCTTAAATGTGTGAATTTTTTTGAATTTCAGTCTATCACTAGCAGAGAAAAGCAATCATATTTAATTTTTTTCATGTCTTATTTGTAATAGAAGTCTGAGGGAGTGTGAATATGTTTTGACGACACTGTTTTTGCCCAGCACAAATCCATTTTTATGTGTAAAAGGCATATGAAGATCCGAAAATCATTGTTTTTCTTTGTTGTGCAACCCGGCTGAACCTATTTTGGAATAATAGGATATACAGTGGGTACGGAAAGTATTCAGACCCCCTTAAATTTTTCACTCTTTGTTATATTGCAGCCATTTGCTAAAATCATTTAAGTTAATTTTTTTTCCTCATTAATGTACACACAGCACCCCATATTGACAGAAAAACACAGAATTGTTGACATCTTTGCAGATTTATTAAAAAAGAAAAAGTGTACATTAATGAGGAAAAAAAAATAACTTAAATGATTTTATCAAATGGCTGCAATATAACAAAGAGTGAAAAATTTAAGGGGGTCTGAATACTTTCCGTACCCACTGTATGCATCCAATCAATGTATGACCCACTTTTCCTGTGTCACATCCACACAAGCACACGCTCATGCACATATACATATGCCTTCGGCAACTGCATGACTCACGCTGTGCTGAAAGCACTTGATCTGGAACACAAACGAAACGGAGGGACTGAAACCACGGATGTGCGAAAAGGAGTGTGGAAAACCAGCGCTGAGATCGGCAAGCATGGAAGCTTGTGGATTAAGCTGTTGAATCTCTTGCTGTTGGGTGGGAGGGGGTTAAGGAGAGATTTGTGGGCATTGTGTTTGAGAGGAGAGAGATGGGGGCTTACTCTGTCATGTGCTGTTAGTGGCAGCAGAAAGAGAGAGAGAGAGAGATGCAAGAGAAAAAGGACCCTCAGCCCAAATCTGCCAGCAGCCTGGGAAAGGTAGGGCAGATTAGTCAGTGGCTCACTGTATGTTTCTCTAGTGTGTGTTTTTGTGTGTTTCTGCGTAGTTGTGTGTGTGCCTGCCCATTACTCGTGTCTTGCTGTTTTCATGCTTCTAAATGAATCTCAGCGCTCCGAGGAGCCTGTCGGCAACGCTCAAGTCTTGATGTGCATGTCATGCTGACGGTGTCAGTGTGTGGTTGTGCATCTGTGTTCGGTGTGATTCTCTATTATGGTCAGTTTTAAAGTGTGTTCATGTGTATGTGTGGTCATGCACACTTACACAACCTATTTTTTTTTTGCCATTTGCATAAATGTACATGCAAATGACACCGTGTATTTGAAGGTTTGGTGTCCATGCAGGGCACCAAATGTAGGATGGATATTCAGTGCGTGAGAATATCCTTTTATTGTGAGTAGAAAACGACAAAAATATAATATTCACAAGGACAGGTCAATAAGGTGTAACAGTAAATAACAGACCTAAAAAAACACAAATAATTCGCATTTATTTTTTATACACACACAAACACACATCTGGAGATATGAGTGTATGTATATGCCAAAATACACCTTTACGAATTGTCCCCCCCCCCCAACGTAAAACACGGAAAAAGAGATTCGACGCCATGACTGGAAGCCTCAGCTTGTTTAATTCAAAGGGTCAGAGCGGGGTTGACAGATGGTCTAAGATAGTTTACTATGACTGTTTTTGTTGAACTAACATGTTAAGTGGACTTAAAGGAAAAGCAAAATGGTAGAACAGTGTTGAATATGGCCCCTTTAAAGTGCTGCCTGAATTGTATTCTCTTAAAGTCGGCATGAAACGGAAGATACGATTGTCTTTTCTTCTCTGCTGTGACCTATTTCCGAGTGAAACAGCATCTGAAATGAGAGGGCGGGACTTGATTTCATCCTTCGGGAATTGATTGGATCGTTGGAAGTTGGGGCGTTGCCAACAAAATGGAGGCAGATCTGAATGCCAGTTTGCAGTTAGTGGTGGGGGATTTCTCTCCACTGGATTCACCGCCGACACCCTAGCGTGAAAAAATGTTTTATTTATTGAGGATGACGATCAACGGCACAAAACATGCCTAAACAGCGCGCGTGAGAGAGAGAGAGAGAGAGAGAAAGAGAGAGACTGCCTGAATGACTGAGCGCGTCCTCCATCAGATTTCATGCCGACTTTAAAATTTAGTTTCATCATCTAATCTTTCTGTTCATCTCAAAACCATTTGACTTCTCTTCTGCTGTCACCCCACATTTTATATTCATCCATTTATACTCTTTTCTGACTTTAACATTTGTCTCCTCCTTCTGTCCTTGTTTTCTCAAATTCTGTCTTCTGGGTTTGTTCTCTCAGGCTCATCCTGCCCTGAAGGCCTTCATGTGCGGCTCTCTCAGCGGCACCTGCTCCACTCTGCTGTTCCAGCCGTTGGATCTGGTGAAGACCAGACTGCAGACCCTGCAGAACAACATGCACCCAGGGTGAGTCGCCACCAACCGACATGCCTGCTGTGACCCTCGCTGACCGTGTCTAGACATAAGCCTGCAGTTAGGCTGCTGTCCTTTTGCCCTGATCTTTGTCTAGTATTAGATGTCAAGGCTTAGTTTCAGGACTTGATTGACAGATAATAAACATGTCTTGCATAGTTAATATGCATAATCATTTCTGTTGTCCTTCTGACTAAGAGCTAAATTAGCATAGCATGTCATAGATTAAAACAACTTCAATCCTTTCAAGGGAAACAATGTTATATCCCAATTTTGCCCAGTACTGATAGCTAATAGTTTTGTGGTGTTTGCTAAAGCATGCTTAAAGTTAGTGATTTCAACAAATGTAGTTGGGATTTTAGTCAGTGGATGATAAAACCGATACAAATTCCATAAACTAACATTAAAACGACACCCAAGGCATATCTACAGATCCAAACTTTCACAGAGATTTTGGAATAAACTTGACCTGAGCTAGTAAGCAACCACATAGCAACTTTTATTGGCAACAATTGCTTGTTTGTTCAGTGTTTTTGGTTGTTGTGACAGCTGTGAGGTTTTAGCCTGTATTTTTTTTGGTGAGATACGAGTGTCGTGTTTATGTAAAGGCGTCCTCTCTGTATGCTGTGTGGGAGTGCTATGTTATTAAACTGTCTGCCTCTCTCAGCTTTGCAGAGGATAACATGTTACCCATGTCAAATTATGTGTCCTCATTAGCTCAGCATGCCATCTAAACGCTAAGATTTTTGGCTCGTTCTGTCTGTTTTCGCCCTTCTTTGTCTCTCTGTCTGTGTCCATCATGATCATTTCTGTTTTTGTCTTTGTCTCTCAGTGCTCCTAAAGTGGGGATGATTACAGTCTTTTTCAACGTGATCCGCACAGAGAAGCTGCTTGGCCTGTGGAAGGGGGTTTCACCGGTGAGTCAAGTGTATTGGCTGATGTGTCCATTTCCTTTGGTCCTCGCTCACTGTCTGATCTCACAACAGCATCAATGTTCTAATCTCAGACATATGTCCAATTCTTCATTGAATTTTAACTGTAGATGATATATTTAATGTGGCACGAACAAAAATCCTGTTGTCCTGTGAGGAATATTATGTTATATAGATTAAAAATACTCTTTCTTGACACCTGTTTTGTTTTTATTAGTGATTCACCAAAATGAAATTTGTGGTCCCAAACCGAAAATTCAGGATGCACTTCGCTGAAAACAGAAACCGGAAATATATGTTACTTAATAATAATGTAATTGGTCAAATTCATTTAATAATCAACACTCAAATTGAAACTGAGTTTTGCAAATGTGTAAATTGCACACAAGGCAGTTTTTGTGTCACCTTATGTCACAAAAAAATACTGTTGAAATATAAACATTTAAATGAAAAGAAAAAAATATTTCAGTGGAGAAAAAAAACTTTCATGGCAGGTTTATTCAAACATACATTAAATAAAGACAACAGGTTAAGTAAAACTATTACATTAATTTAGCAAAATACTCCTCTCTAGAATGATTTTTTAGTTGACTATCAAGTTTATGGACATTGAATGGCATTCATAAAGTAAATGTAGCTTTACCTGACATTGTTTACAAGCTGTTTTTAATTGACGTCTTTCTGCAGCTGAAACACTGATTAAATGATTACATGAGACATGATACATTTCAGTAGGTTGTTTGTTTCAAAATACCTTCTGATGTTCATTCATATTTATTTTGTGCTGCAACTAGTAGTAAAGTGTAAGAGATGATTATGCTACAGGTGCTACAGTGATCTGTTACGCCACATTAAAGAGCCTTAAAACCACATGCATTGTTTGTATTTCATGATAAAATTGACCGAATTTGAAAGCTGAGAGTGATTTATATTAAAAGTAATAAAGCACAAAGATTTTTGTGATTATTGGCTGGTAGGTGCCCTACAAATAATGTTTTGGAAAGTTCATGCATCAACAGAAAAAACAAAAAATCGATATTGTTAATCCAGCTCTAGCATTCAATCATACAGCTGACACGTTTACCTGTTGTTGTTTATTCACATTGTGTGCACGAAATAGACACTGACACAGTCAAACATCAGAGAAACTAATTAAATGTCACTGTTTTGGTCAATGATTTTGGCCCAAAACCAAAAATTTTTGTTTGCCAAAATTTCAGTGCATCACTATTTATTTATTTATTTTTGTACATCAAACACTGTAGTTGTATCTGTCTCACTTGTCCCTCTTTCTGTCCTACAGTCGTTCATGCGCTGTATCCCTGGTGTAGGAATCTACTTCAGCACATTTTACTCGCTGAAGCAGCACTTCTTCCAGGATAGGTCTCCGAGTGCTGGGGAGGCGGTGTTGCTTGGGGCGGGGGCTCGTTGTGTGGCAGGCGTGGCCATGTTGCCCATCACAGTCATTAAGACTCGTTTTGAGGTGAGGATCATTATTGAGCTCTGACACTGTACTGTATGCACATTGAAAATGCATGTTTTCTGCTGTATCTGTGTGCTTATTCACTGTTGCATGCTTTATTTCAGAGCGGGCGGTACAATTACATAAGCGTAGCTGGAGCCCTTAAAAGTGTGTGTCAGAATGAAGGTCCCAGGGCTCTTTACTCCGGGCTCACAGCGACTCTGCTCAGAGACGCCCCATTCTCTGGCATCTATGTCATGTTCTACAGCCAGGCCAAAAAGACTTTGCCACAGGGTGAGCTTCTGATCAGTCACGATTGTGATGTAATCTGAGGATATGGCATTGTTTAATGAAGTCTTCTCTCTCTCACGCACTCAGAGATCAGCTCGTCCCCCTTTGTCCCACTGGTTAATTTTGGCTGTGGTGTAGTGGCTGGTATTTTGGCCTCTCTAGCAACTCAGCCAGCAGATGTGATCAAAACCCACATGCAAGTGAGCCCAGTGTTGTATCCCAAGACCAGCGACGCTGTACGCCATGTTTATGCGGTAAGCATCACAGGATAAATCATATTTGTTGACCTTTAGTGGCCTTTAGAAGTCTTTTTAAACACAAAATGTTATTTTAAACACAGCATGAAACAAAAGTCTCTCAATTCCCTGAAATACAATATTGCCATTACCATATATGTCACCCTGGACCACAAAACCAGTCATAAGTAGCACGGGTATATTTGTAGCAATAGCCAACAATACATTGTATGGGTAAAAATTATCGATTTTTCTTTTATGCCAAAAATCATTAGGATATTAAGTACAGCCAAATATTGTCCTATCCTAACAAAATAGGATATAATATAGCTTATTCATTCAGCTTTCAGATGATGTATAAATCTCAATTTCAAAAAATTGACCCTTATGTTTTGTGGTCCAGGGTCACATATATACATATGGCATACAATACCATTACCCCATTACCATATATATATATATTAAAAAAAATCAGTTTCAAATCAATTCTGTTTTTAACTTTCTAATCATCAAAGAATCCTGAAAAAAAATTATCACAGTTTCCACAAAATTTTTTAAAACCATTATAATAATATTGATAATGAAAAGAAATGTTTATAAGAAATTAAGCATCAAATAAGCATATTAGATTGATTGACGGATTGTATGACACTGAAGATTGGAGTAATGATGCTGAAAATTCAGCTTTGCCCACAGGAATTAATTACATTTTAAAATATATTAACACAGAAAATGGTTATTTTAAACTGTAATATTATTTCATAATATTACCTAATTGGTGTATTTTACTGTACTGTAGTGTATCATATTTACTTTCTTAATAAATGTTCCTTGCCTTGTGCAAAATTTATTATATTCTTAAAGAAAATGTTTGTTGGCATACGCTTTTTTTATATAAATATATATATTTCTACATCTAGTGTGACTTCTGAGGATGTACCCGAAAGATAATATGAACTTATAATATCATATCCTTTCATGTTTCCACTTTTCATTATCTAGTCAAACGCTCACAGATCAAATTAAGTCCCACCCAACATCATTTTCATCTGAATTTTCGGTTTCAAACTTGACTGTCACATTACAGAAATTAAATTCTGAATGTTGTTTTGTATTTTCTAAAAATCTGTTTTTAAACACACCTGGCACACTTATGTGTGGACTCCATACTGTGTGTCAATTTTTGAAGTCATTGTTTTGTCAGTAGATTAAAGTCTTTTTAAAGTCAGTTGCATCATTTTAATTCTTATTTTCTCTCTCCAATTTTAGAAGCATGGCTTGAGCGGGTTCTTTCGAGGAGCGGTTCCTCGTTCTCTGAGGAGAACCCTCATGGCGGCCATGGCCTGGACTGTGTACGAGCAGCTGATGGCACGCATGGGACTGAAGTCCTAAGGACACCCGACGCACTTTATGTGTGGACTTCATTCTGTTTGTGTCCGTTACAGGAGTGTGTGCTTTTCAGACGATGGTGAAAAGATGGCGTTGTATTATCCTTGAAGGCTTGATCAAAACAAAAGCAGCTAGTGTTGGCTGAGGTACCAGTAATTGTAGGGTTGCGTGTGTGTGTGTCTTTGTGTGTTAGTGTTTTCAGGTGCAGTGAGACGTTACCCCGTGACACCTCTGACAGTGACATTCCTAAATTGCCACATTGTGAGTTTGTATGCCTTGTTGACGCCTGCATATTTAGACAGGGGTCCGCACTGACGAATACCAATGAGAGACTGCTGAATCATGTGCTGTCAGCTCACAAGAAAACACTCCTTTCACAGGAAGAAAATCCCCCTTTTGGCAACTAACCTTAGAATACCACATGCCTCAGTGTCATTGAAAAGTGCCCACCTTTGCAGTGTTCTCAGAAACCCACGAGTCCGTGGACTCCAGTGTCTGAGATAGTTCTTAAGCATGGTCCTCTGAGTTAAATCCTTTTTAGTCAAGGATGAGGCTTAGTGGGTGTTTAAGACTGGTCTTACAAAGACATGTTAACATATTACTCCAGCGCTCCGACAATCAGACCGAATTACTCCAGGGCTGAGAAACTGAACTGACAACACATGACTGTCTCACCAACATACTCCATTCCGACTATAATTGTGCGTCTCTATGTGATGATTGTGCTGTTCTACTGATTTCCTGTGCTGTGTGACTGGATGGGTTTATCCGTGCATTCCAATACACTGTGTTTTTTATTTTCTTTGAACGCTCGCTCCTGGGCACAGACAAAGCCAGGATTTGGATTGAATGAGACTGTAAGACCTGGAGAAACATTGGGAGAACCAGGGGAGAACAAGTGTTATAGTTCCTGAGAAAACAATATTTGAAGTGGAACGTATCAGTGAGAATTTACAATACTTCATGTATCGTATTTGCAAATGTGTTGTCGGATCATTTTGACTGACGTTTTGTCGTGTTGACGTTGTGTGTAAAACCACTGTAAGACGCCAAAGTGTGGTGCTCAGTGTGAACACAACAGTGTAATGTTAATTCTACATGACCCATAGGGGGAATTTTAGGAAGTCTGCCAAAAACATGTCCGGGTGGTTGTTCACCCTTAAAATTCGTAGATAAAATAAAACTTATGAGAACTATTAGGATTTTTGGCATTGTGACATTATTTTCATTCCAGTTAGGTAGCCAGTTCATTTCACCATGGTAGTCTTTGTCGTACTGCCTGTAATGTTTTTTTAAATCAGCAAATTACCATAATTTGTACTATAAAACCTTTAATAATGGGAGAAAAAATTCAAATAAAATTCAGGGATGCATTACAATAATGTGAATTTAGGCTAAATATGCTTAATTGTCTTGTAAATAATGTCACATTGCAAAAATCTTAATGGATCTGAAATAGATTTTGATTTATTTAAGCCAAATATAATATCTCCCCCCTCCTCCCCCCCAGGAAAAATTTTGGGGGTTAATATCATGTGGACATATTTTCATGAAATTCACCCCCATAAGCCTTTGGGTTTCTTGTTCTCTCAGTTGTCTCGGTGATAGTACTTTGCCATTTGCCTCTTCATATACTTTGAGGGTTTGTACTGTATGTATAATTTCTCCCCCCTCCTCCCCCCCCAGGAAAAATTTTGGGGGTTAATATCATGTGGACATATTTTCATGAAATTCACCCCCATAAGCCTTTGGGTTTCTTGTTCTCTCAGTTGTCTCGGTGATAGTACTTTGCCATTTGCCTCTTCATATACTTTGAGGGTTTGTACTGTATGTGCACTGGTCAGTGTGGATCCCATAGGACTTAAATGTTTGGATTGTACTACAGGAATCATTATTACCATATACGTCAAATGACTTTAATCGTTTAAATTTGATATACTCAAGTAATTATAATTTAATTTAGTTTGCTAAATTCAATTCCGTTAAAGATTATCTGCTGCAGAATGCAGTTGAATGCCCATAGTATGAAGTTGGGAAGACATGCAGAGCCGAGTGATACACTAGTTTTATATCAGTTAAGAGGGTACATAAGTTTCGGTCACACTGCACACTACATGCATAGAGTTTGTGAAAGCACTTTAAATTCAGTGAAGTTGACTGCATTCAAACTGAATCTGAGTGGTGTGTGTTGGTCACATGTTGCTATGTAAGCCATTGTGCTGTACTGTGGAGATACTCTTTTGCCTTCACACAATCAGTATCATCTCTTCAGCATTTCTTATGGCCATTATTGTTGATATTTTGTCTGTATGTGAGAATATTTGCACATGCAAATGTCATGCCTATGTTAATATGTGAATAAATCTGCCCTGTTTTATAAATGGTTGTGAAGGGTTGTTTTGTGTAGCTGGTTTTGTAACCTACACTACATTTTTAGCATTTGTCATTGAGTTTTATCACACTAGTGAAGTGAAAATCATTGATCTTTTTTTTTTGCTAGTGAAAAAACAGAAGATAATGGCATACTGTTAACATGGCACAAAATGGTCTTGCTTCTCTGTTGTTCTGTGCTCTGCTGGGTGCTGCTGATGGTATAAACCCTGACAGCCTGATGGCTCAGAGTCCCCAGACATGCAGCCAGACAGTGTAAAGGGGGTCAGGTATGAGGACACCTAGAGGGACTGAAGCACTGTAGTGACACACGTCAAACGGAGCAGTAATTATAACACAGACTTCTGTCAGATTTTATTTACCTAACTGCAAAATGAGAAATGTACTCACAAAAAAAAAAGCTCAAGCATACAGTAGTTATCAGAAACCAGCTCCCCAAGGAAATAATAATGATATCATAACAATATCCAGCATAAACCAGAATGCAGACATTAGACTTGTACTGCTATTTGATGGATTTCACATGGTCAAAATGAACAATACATAAGACAATGCATGGAATTATGTAATATGCTTTCTTATTTAAAATGCAATATTTCCAATTTTACAGTTTTTTTTCTTCATTTTATTTATGTATGTGTTTGTTAACATTGCCTACTGGTACAGTGCTATTTTAGTTCAATTGAGATACTATTATATATTTTTTAATATTTTGAATTCTTTTTTATCTTCCATTTTAATTTTAGTATAAGTTTTAGTAAAAAAAATTTTTTTCATTTATTATTATTATTATTGTTATTATTTAAATATGTATATGAAATGTAAACAATTTTTGGGTTAGTTTTAGTATATCAAGCCACACTAAATGAATGTTGTTTGGCAATAAAATATCTTAAGTTTTTTCATTATATTTCAGTGAATGTTAGTTTTATTTAAAGTAACAACATTTTATGGTTTTAGTTTTACTTAACTATAATCTCTGATTTGACTGTCAGAGTGTTTTGACTCTGATTTGTACTCACTATATTGGAATGTGAGTGCGTGTGTGTGTGTGTGTGTGCGTGTGTGATACAGTACTTGCATTAGCAAGTAATTTCAATGATCTGAGGACCGCCCTTTCACTTCACCAAAAAAAGATCAACAACTGACGACTATTGTCTCGCATGTGAAATCCTGCACCGCCGCTAGGGGTAACGTTAGTATGTGACTTTTTTTAAACAGAAGGAAAGCGAAGAGCAAGAAATCCTCCGGTATGATTGGTGGACACTCGGGTATATAATGTACGTCATTTCCTCATCCCGCCCTCTTTTTGCCGTGAGGTGCAGAACTCCATACGGCGTTGTCTCGTGGTGAGCACAAATTCTATCATTTTGACAAATTGTAAACGTCTATTTGAGTCGAACTACTTCACTAAAGGCGTAGTTAAACTACTTCACTAAAATTACGAATATTCATCAAATGTTAAATATGAAGTACGTCGGATTTCTTAAAAATATGAAGGCCTGAATCGCAACGTGTAATCTCGCGCAAGGAAGCGCGTGTTCATCTACAGTCAGTGTAGCGCGCTTGATGGTCGATCGTAATAATTAACACTTGAGTAGTTTGATTGACATCAAGTGTCTACATACCTTTAATGTCTCAGTTGATTGTTGAAATAAGTTAGACGTTTCCTCAGTAGGTTAGCGCGGTGGAGTATAGCATCTGACGTGCTAATGGTGATGCGAGATGGCTCTTCGTTCTGTGAGGATCACGCACACTGTTAAAGCCTCGCACTGCTGTCGGTGTTTAGGTGTCGGATGTGTGCTAAAGTGATACAGCCGGGTTTTCGCTAACACCAGTAGGGCTGATGCGCCCTATGACTGGGGTTTGATAGCGACCTGAGCTACATTCATCCAACTTTATTATAAATACTTATTCCACTTGTCAGTTTCTTCTAGGCTAAGCCATCTATCTATACGCTCTTGTTTCCTTCCAGCTCTCCCACTTCAACTCGTTACGCAGGGAAAGTGGTCACGATGTCCGGAGGTCTGGATGTCCTTCAGATGAAGGAGGAGGATGTGCTGAAGTTCCTGGCAGCAGGAACCCATCTGGGAGGAACCAACCTGGACTTCCAGATGGAGCAGTACGTCTACAAGAGAAAGAGTGACGGTAAAAAAGTGCAGATTAGGGTGATATGTCTGCGACATGCCTTTTTGGGGCTTTATCAATCTTTGTAGGTTACTGTAACTTACAATGGTTTGTGAGGGAACTGCAGGTGGTTTGAGAGTTATCTAATAAATAAATATCTATATATATATATCTCTCTAATAAAGTCTGTATTAATTTATGGGAATAGTTACTTAAAGGGATATTACACAATTTAATTAATTACTCCCCCCTCATGTCATTCCAAACCTGTAAGACCTTTGTTCCTGCAAGAATACTTTTTGTGTGCCAAGAAAAGCTTTTCTTCTGTTCACGAGAGTACCACGACGCATAGTGTAAAATTAATAAAGTAATTTTTTTTTTTTGTGCACAAAGTATTCTCGTAAGCTACTCATTATCTCGTAAGTATAATGGTTGAACCACTGATGTCACATGGACTATTTTAACAATGTCCTTAATACCTTTATGGGCCTTGAACTTGTCAGTTGCGTTGCTGTCTATGCAGGGTCAGAAAGCTGTCAGATACGGGTCGGTGTGGAATAGGGGTTGCACCGACTAGTCGACTTCAATGCTCTGCCATGACGCTTTAAGCTTGACGTCGACTAGTCACTGGTCCTGTAGAGGGCGCAACAGGATAAGAAATCTTTGAAGGACTTCCACATTTACGCTCTTTCCAAACAGTTCAAGTGACAAATAAATGCATACTCTAAAAGCGCTCCACAAGACGTGTGATTATATTACTGGATGCTCGAAATTGAACGGGAGAGTGCACATTTTAAACACTTCAAAAAAATCAGAAGTCGTTCAACCCCTAGTGTGGAATGACATAAGGGGGAGTAATTAATGACAGAAATTACATTTTTGGGTGAACTTTCCCTTTAAAATCTCAGGGGTGCTTTAAGAAATATTTTGTCAAAGGGGTTTGGGAGAAAAGGTTTAGGAACCCCCACTATAACTGCTGACTCTTGCATTTCTGCAGGCGTGTACATCATCAATCTAAAGAAGACTTGGGAGAAACTGCTGTTGGCTGCTCGTGCCATTGTTGCCATCGAGAATCCAGCTGATGTTTGCGTTATCTCCTCCAGAAACACTGGCCAGGTAATTAACACACTCCATGTCTAGTCATTGCCAGCAGCATTTGTCTTAAATTCTCAAAATTAAAAATCCAAAGAGCTGTTTAACCAGGCACATTATTAAAACCTGGCACTGCTGTCGGTGTTTGGGAGTCGGAAGTGTGCTAGAGTGACCTTGGCCGGGATTTCGCTAACACCATGAGGGTTTTGCCCCATGACTGGGGTTTGATAGTAACCTGAGCCACAATGCTTTTATTCTTTCACTTACACTGGATATGTTCTTTGTGAACTTGACTGTTGATTTTACTGATGTTAAACATCACTGTTCTTTCCTGTCAGAGAGCTGTGCTCAAGTTCGCCTCTGCCACTGGCGCGACCACCTTCGCTGGTCGTTTCACTCCCGGAACCTTCACCAATCAGATTCAGGCTGCTTTCAGGGAGCCCCGCCTCCTGATCGTGACAGATCCTCGCGCTGACCATCAGCCACTAACCGAAGCCTCTTACGTCAACATCCCAACCATTGCCCTCTGCAACACCGACTCCCCTCTGAGATACGTCGACATTGCCATTCCATGCAACAACAAGGTACGAATGAGAAACTAAACTCTTCATGCAAGTGGTGTTGGTTCTGTCTGGTTATAAGCTTTTAAATGTTGTGTTTTAGGGTCCCCACTCTGTGGGTTTGATGTGGTGGATGTTGGCCAGAGAAGTGCTGAGGATGAGGGGCACCATCTCCAGGGAGCACCCATGGGAGGTCATGCCGGATCTGTACTTCTACAGAGATCCTGAGGAGGTACGGTGCAAAATATTCTTATACTGATTGCTTTTCTCATCCACATAGGGCTGGGCGTTATAACTAAAAAAATTATCACGATATAATGTTTCATATCGTTCGGTATCGATAATTATTGAAAATTAAGAAAAATTTAAAACCTTTCTTAAGCTGAGCAGTAGAAAAAAAGGTTTAAATTGAACCTGTATTTTTAATTTTCCCAATTTATTAATACAAACAAATAAAATTGAAACAAATATCTCCTTTCTTTTATTTTATATGCAGATTAAATAAGTGTTAAGGAAAGTTTGTCCTGTCTCCTGAGGCCACAGGAGGGTGCAATGAGCAAAATAATGCACCTCATTAAACTGTTTATTCAATGCAATGAAAATACCGGCTGTCTATAAAAAAAGTACATAACGCCTAAACTAATATTTATACATCAAATATGATTTCGTGAATTGCATAAACAATAATGTACAAAACAGCATCATATGTATTTATGCATAACTTAATATAAATAGCCAAAGCGCCGATTACACGATTGCATTTAAAAACATGAGACGCAGTGGAATGGAATAAAACCCCCACAAATTCTCGAGACATGTTTTCTAAAAGTTTAACCTCTTAACTTTACATGGCTTTCTATTCAACTCTTATGCGAGACGCGAGTGCAATTAACACTCATATGAATATGCGTTCTGTGTGAATGGCTTGGTTTCGGTTTTAACCTAAACAAACATCTTCTCCGCATTGAGCTTCTATATTTCTCCAATATTTTGAATGGAAAATGCAACATCCTCACCGCATCTCGTGCGCCGCTATTAAGGCTCCCTGACGCACACCTAAAATTCAAATATACCGTTTTTTTTTCATTCGAATGCGAATTTTTATTTTAAATTTGACTAATATTCGTTTTTTTTAATTTACAGTCTCATCGCAGACAGGCACGGCACTAATTTCAGCATGTGTTTGTTCTGTTGGCTGTCTGCTTGTCACTCATAACACATGCCTTTAAATGAAAAAAGCGTGAAACTATCGTGCGATATATCAAACTTTTTTTTCTATCGTTATCGATGGTGTACCGTCGATAAATATCGATACCGTTTTACTGCCCAGGCCTACATCCACGTATTCAGAATCAGTCCAAGAATTTCACATTTATAAATCCTGTTGTGGTAAAAAAAATATGCATCTGCCAGTTTACATCCAGACAAGATTAAGGTGTCACATAGGTCATATTAGACTGGCTCGTGTGCATTTATTGAAGGGCGGAGAACCTCCAAGTTGTAGCACTAACATGTTTTTGGTCTGCCCAGTTTTTAGTGTCATGTGACTATTTGTTCAGGGCAAATTTTGAAGGACTTATGTAAGATGGACCCAGAAAGCCCCCCCCCTTTTTTTTAAATTTTTTTTTTTTTTTTATTGACTTTTAGTTGAATAAAATGTTTTCCCCCAAGTTGAAATATATAAAATGTTTTTTGTTGAATGCTTAAAATTTATCTGCTGTAAAGCTGATATGTCTAATTTAAATACAGCCAACCAATATTCAGAATCACTTCCCGTGTAGCTTGATAGTGTTGCTTTGTTTACTATTAAAAGTGTGCTAATTGTGTAACTGGTTCTGCTTTACCTCTAGATTGAGAAGGAAGAGCAGGCTGCAGCTGAGAAGGCTGTTGGTAAGGAGGAGTTCCAGGGAGAATGGACCGCTCCTGTGCCCGACTTCAACCAGCCTGAGGTTGCTGACTGGTCTGAAGGTGTTCAGGTTCCATCTGTGCCCATCCAGCAGTTCCCAGCTAGCGTTGAGGGTAAGCTGCTTCTAGTAGACTTGTTTTCCCAGATGTTACAGTTGGTAAATGCAAAATACAAACAATTTTGGAAATTACATTTAGATAATTATTTCAACTGAACGTGAAAATTTGTGAACTAATCGACTCTTCTGAACTTCAGCTCCTGCCAAAGCTGCACCAGCTGAGGTGTTTGCAGGTAAGGTTTTCCTGTTTAGTAGCATGAAATGCACAGTACAAAATAATGAAGTGTGTAACATTTGGTGTAATTTTGAATTTCTGTCTCATCAGCAGAGGACTGGAGTGCTCAGCCTGCCACTGAGGATTGGTCTGCTGCTCCCACGGCTCAGGCCGGAGACTGGGGCGGCACCACTGCAGACTGGTCTTAAGAGAAGCATTAACCATGCTTGTGAAATCAATAAATTTGGTTGTTTAAAACCGCGGTTCTGATACGTTTTCTTTTTGAGCTTATTTCTGATAAGCAATTATGGCTATAGTGTCTAGCCGTGTAGTGTGTGGAATGACACCAAAACATGCAGATGGGCAGGTCTTAAGTGAAATGGCTTAATGAAGGGATAGTGTACTGTCAGCTGAACAGTGTTCACTAAACCCTAACTGGGTATTATATATTAAGCTTGTTTTGTAGACATTTGAGTGACCGATTGCATTGGGTAGCAGCCATTCAGTGTTTGACCAATGAAATCAAAATTGAATTTGCAGTGTTTGACAGTTTTCAAAATGACTAGAGAGCCGTCTTATTGAAATCAAAACAGTTTTCAGTGTTTCTGCAGCTCTTAATCTTAAGTCAACCTTTTGCAAACTAAGGCCTTGAAAAGTTAAATTCATAAAGTCATGGCATATGTTGCATGCATATCAAAAAATGAATTCCTAGTACCTCAGTTTTTTTGCTTTACAATTCAAATCTGAACATCTAACCCTTAATGTACATTATTACAAACGTAAACCAAACTAAATGAGTTGATTTTTCTGAGCCTATTAGCGGATGTTTGGTCTTGTTTTAATAATGACATTTGCACTGGAAAACGACAAATACTGCAGACAAATATCACTTTTTACAGTGTGATCAGAAGGTAAAGTAAAAGTTATTCATATTGTAGTGGTTGAGAACAGAGGTATGTTGGAAGTTGTATTTTCAAACTGAAGTGTTGCTAACATTGCTCCTTAGACATTTACATTTAGAGGACATTTGTTTCGCTCCGTTTTTTTTCGTTAAATTTTATTTGGTCTTATATTTACCTTCATCAAACCTGCAGAAACCCTGGTTTAAGAATGTAAAGTGTCTGTTTGATTCAGATTTGGCTGTTTTAGGATTAGTTGAGCACTTTTGCCTTGTGCATGAACATTATTACTGGTATATGTATGAATCAAATAATTGTCGTGTTTTTGGTTTTTAAGGTATCGAAAACATTCCACCCCAGATGGGACTCGAACCCACAATCCCTGGCTTAGGAGGCTAGTGCCTTATCCATTAGGCCACTGGGGCTTCTGTAGGTTTCTTGTGAAAGATTTGTTTATATATAATAAATACGTGTTAAAATAAAATATAAAAACGTGTTATATTTTAACCATGCTGTAGGTTTCCTGTGAAAGATTTAACTTGTTTATATATAATAAATACGTGTTAAAATAAAATATAAAAACGTGTTATATTTTAACCATGTTTTGATTAAAAACACAAGGCACAGCGATGCGCATGAATCCCATCACATGGCGGTCTTCTGTCGTTGATCTGTTGAAGAATGGGTTGCTTAGCAACATCGTGATGCCGCGCCGCCAAACATGGCAGTCGAGATTAGCTAGAGAACATTGATTACACACAACATGACGAGCACATTTATTCATGCTCTGTGCTATTATATATAATTTGATTTAATTCAGGAGGTAGGATCGTTTGCGTTTGTTCAAAAGCAAACGCAGATCTTTTAAACATCTTGTACGCACACCTAAACATAGTCGCTTAGCAAGTATGCTAGCTAGTAGGCTATCTGGCTAGTTCACTTCATCTACAGAAATACTGTTCCTGGATTAACGGACATCTAAATCGATGCTGTTTGTAAATCGAGTGATTAATTTTATAGGCTTTATGGTGATCAGAGTGCTAGTAAAATGACTGGCTAAATCTAGTCTAGTTTCAGGATCGTGTGTTCGTGGACAGTAAAGCATCATCACCATGGTGAGTATCAACAACATATAATATAGTTATTATTAAGTTAACATAAAATGTTCTGAGCAAGCAAGCATAAATGTGGCTTTTATGTAGGCATTCTGTAGGCATAATTCAATATATGAATTCAAGAATTTTAAAAATGTGCTCACTACTTTTTTTACTTACAGGTTTACTGCTCTCATTAGTATTACTCTTTGAGCTAGTTATATCTTGTGACTGTAACAGTTTTATTATTATTATAACAACTAAACTTAATTAATCTAATGGCCTCCTTTATAATTATATCCATTTAAAATAGGTTATACCTATATTAGTGACCCTCACTTTTTGTTTTCTATAAAAACATTTAGCAACAAATACTTTGCGTTAATCTTGCCTAGTTAGGTAACTTGAATTCTTTTAAGTGCCCACACTATATGATAGTACAGTAGTTGAATGTTCCCCTGAAAAATTAAGACATTACAGTAGTAAACATAGTTTTATAGTTTCATAGGAAAAAAATTTCATTTAGCTCGGAAGCATTAAATTGATAATGTATAGTGTTACAAAATATTTCTATTTCAAATAAGTGCTGTTCTTATTATCAGCATTGATAATAGTCAAATCAGTATATTAGAATGATTCCTGAAGGATCATGTGACACTGATGCTGTGGAGTAATGATGCTGAAATTTCAGCTTTGCATCACATGAATAAATGAGGTTATATAACATAAAAATAGTTAGTTAATAATATTTCACTATTTTTATTTAATTTCTGATCAAATAAATGAAGTCTTGATGAGCATACTGCAAAATTAAAAAGTCTTACTGACCATAAACTTTAGATTGGTAGTGTGTAAATAATAGTAGAGTACATGTAGTCCATGTACAATATACATGAAAGATTACAAACTGGAATAAATATTTATGTGTACACGTGATTAGAATAAACTAATAGAATTTCTCTGAACTGTTGTACATCCTGATAGCAGCATCTTGTTTCTGTTCTGAAGCTCTTGTCTCGGATCAAACCAGCAGTGGGTGGTGAAGCCTCCACCAGCTCGAATGAGAAGAAAAGGAAAAATAAAAGCAAAAAGATTCCAAGACTTGAGGATTATCTAAACCAAAGAGACTATTTGGGAGCCCTGACTCTATTAGAGGTACAAAAACAAGCACATTGGATCTCAGATTACAGCTCTATGATATTTACATGAACTCTGTAATGCCAGTTTCAGCGTAATGGCGGGGTGTCAGTGGAGCATGCAGACCTTTGGATTGGCTTCTGTGCCTTTCATTTGGGAGAGCACAAGAGAGCAATGGAGGTTAGTGAAAGAGATGGTAGATTCTGCAGACACACCAGGATGTTGGATGCAGTCAGTCATGCTTGACTAAGGAATGAATCACCTTTAAAGAGCGAGGCTGTGTGACATTATGGCTGTTTGTCATTTGAAATTAGTTGTTTGTAACATGACATATTCCTACTTGTTACTTATACTCAGGAGTATGAAGCCCTCACTCTGAGGCCGGAGTGTCCGGTGGATGTTTGGGTATATCTGGGCTGTTCGCTCTTTTTCCTGGGGCTTTATAAAGAGGCCGAGGAGGCGGCATCAAAAGGTTTGCCTTCACATACTGTAAACTAAAGGTTGGGGTCTGTAAGATGTTTTTGGAAGAAGACTCTTATGCTCACCAATGCTGTTTTTTCAAATACAGTAAAATCAGTAATATTATAATAATGTAAAATCTTAAAATGTAATTTATTCCTGTGATGGTAAAGCTGAATTTTCAGCATCATTACTGAAGTCTTTAGTGTCACATGATCCTTCAGAAATCATTCTAATATGCTGATTTTGGTGCTTAAGTAACATTATCAATGTTGAAAACAGTGCTACATAATATTTTTATGGAAACCGATTTTGTCAGGATTCTTTTATAAAAAAAGAACAGCATTTTTTAGAAATATATATACTTTTTTTTTTTTTTGTAGCACATCATCAAAAATTATCCTCTTAAGACCCGAGAAAAGATTTTTAGGAAAAAAATATTTTTTTTCATGTCTTTACATTGTTTAGAGCATTGTAAAGAAAATTATTTCACCAAAATATTATGTCCTCATATGAGGTCACATGGTCTCAGGAGGTTAAAACATGCTGTCTTTTTCAGGGCAAAATAAAAAAAAAAAGATATTTCGTTCATAAGTTATGCTATGTCCTCGGTAGAGTAAAATGGCCATAAACGGGTTTTCTCATAATATACAATGTATCTATAAACTAAATCTAATTTGCATATTAATGTGTTTTTGGGGCAACATGTAATGAAAAAAGAAGTGTAATAATGGGAGTAATATTTGACAAGATTTTCATAATAATATATAATATTTCATAGAATATTGAAACATAATTTCTTTCCCTATTCATTTGTTATGTCTCCCAAAATGCTAATAAACATGCTTTTAGTCCCAGTGTCCTCATATGAGGACATGTATGAAATCAACATCCTGTGAAATACACCAAAATATAATGTCCTCATATGAGGTCACATGGTCTCAGGAGGTTAAAACATGCTGTCTTTTTCAGGGCCAAAAACTCAGCTTCAGAATCGCCTGCTCTTTCATTTAGCTCATAAGGTCAGTTTTTCATAATATTTCGTCCCCTAGTTGACATTATTATGGTAGTGCATCTGATGATAATGATATGATCTGCTTTGTTCTTCTCTGTGAAGTTCAGTGATGAAAAGAAGCTGATGGGTTTCCATCAGAACCTGGAGGACGTGACTGAGGACCAGCTGAGCTTGGCTTCCATTCATTATATGCGCTCTCATTACCAAGAGGCCATTGATATCTACAAACGCATCTTACTGCAGAACAGGTGCTTCAGAACTACACCGTGATCGCATCAACATATGAACCAGAACCTTTGAGAAGACTTACAATGCATTTGTACAATAATATAATAGCATATGGAATGTCAACACATTCTTCCTACAGCACAGCATCAATATTGACAAATGATTTGTCTCTCTCCAATTCTGCAGAGACTTTCTGGCCCTGAATGTGTATGTGGCTCTGTGTTACTATAAACTGGATTACTATGACGTGTCTCAGGAGGTGTTGGCCGTGTATCTGCAGAGTATTCCTGACTCTACCATCGCCCTTAACCTCAAAGCCTGCAACCACTTCAGACTCTACAATGGCAAAGCTGCTGAAGTCAGTTACACTACTATGTTTTCTAGCATACACAAGATGAAAGTTGATGATTATGATCCTAAAGACAACTTTAATTGTACACTGCTGTTTAAAAGTTTGGAATAGGTAATTTTCTTTTTTTAAAGTCTATTTTTTAAGTCTAAAGGCTGCATTGATTTAATAAAAAATACAGTAAGTAGTGTAAATATTACAGTTTTCAATTGTAATGTATTTTAAAATGTAATTTTTTTTCTTATTATGCAAAGCTGAATTTTCAGTAGTTACTACTCCAGTCTTCAGTGTCACATGATCCTTCAGAAATCATTCCAATAGGCTGATTTGCTGTTAAAGAAACTTGCTCTTATTATCAATGTTGAAAACAACTGTGCCGCTTAATATTTTTATAGAATTAGGAGTCTGCATTTATATTAAGTATTTTTGTGTAACAATGCAAATGTCTTTACTGTCACATTTGATCAATTTAATGGGTCCTTGCTAAATGAAAATATTAAAATATGAATTCATTTATAACGTGATGTGAAAATAAAAAGTAAAATGCATGTGTGTTGACAATGAAAGGTGGTTTTAAGTTCTTTAATTAACATTTTTTTCTCCTTCTTGACTCTTTAGACGGAGTTGAAGAACCTGATGGATATCTCTTCCAGCTCGTTTCAGTTTGCTAAAGAGCTCATTCAGCACAATCTGGTTGTGTTTCGTGGGGGTGATGGGGCCTTGCAGGTTTTACCTCCTCTGATTGACGTCATATCAGAGGCCAGACTCAACCTGGTCATCTACTATCTCAGACAAGGTATGTCGATCAGGCGTACAGTGAGACTGGCTTATCAGGTTTGTTATTAACTTTGCCATCTCTCATTTAGATGACATTCAGGAGGCCTACAAACTCATCAAAGACCTTGAGCCCACCACACCCCAGGTATTTAGTCCTCCCTAATATTTATTTCTCCTTTTTTTACTCTTTTTATTTACTGTCAGTCAGTGACTGGATTAGAGTTTATAAGTGATTATAATGTGTTTTATCTGCTGGTATGGGATGTGATCGTCTTGGTAGTACCAGCATGAATGGACTGACAATGATAAACTAATCAAATCATATTTTCCACCATATGTGACCCTGGACCACAAAACCAGTCATAAGGGTCAATTTTTTGAAATTGAGATTTATACATCACCTGAAAGCTGAATAAATAAGCGTTCCATTGATGTATGGTTTGTTATGATAGGACAATATTTGGCCGAGATACAACTATTTGAATATCTGGAATCTGACGGTGCAAAACAAAATCAAAATATTGAGAAAATCGCCTTTAAAGTTGTCCAAATGAAGTTCTTAGCATATTACTAATCAAAAATTAAGTTTTTATATATTTACGGTAGGAATAGGAAATTTACAAAATATCTTCATGGAACATGATCTTTACTTAATATCCTAATGATTTTTGGCATAAAAGAAAAATCGATAATTTCGACCCATACAATGTTTTTTTGGCTATTGCTAAAAATACACCCAAGCGACCTAAGGCTGGTTTTGTGGTCCAGGGTCACATATATAACCATTTTCCATCTTCATTTGTCTGCCTCACATGAGAATCGATGTCTAAAATACATTTTGGGTCCAGTGATATCATTTTATCCTCTGGTGTCATTCACAGGAATATATTCTGAAGGGGGTGGTGAATGCTGCTTTGGGACAAGATATCGGATCGGTTCGTGAGGTTTATTCATATCAGATAACAGTATTCCCTCTCAAAGCCTTTGCGCATGTTTTCCAAAAAAAATTCCCAAAACTATGTTCTCTTATCTTGTTATATGTTTGTGTATTTTTACAGAGGGACCATTTAAAAATTGCCCAGCAGTTTTTCCAGTTGGTTGGAGGCTCAGCCAGTGAATGCGGTAACATCATTGTTTAGGCTGACAATAACAATATTAGCGCTGGTTCAGCAGCCGGGCCCCTGTGCTTTATGTAATGGAGCCGGTGACAGAGTTTGTTTTCTTGGCACAAACTATGCCACATCCTAGACTGAAAATGGCTCTCAATTATATATCCTTTCTATTTTACTACAAAATGTAATTTGCACCTGACATGGTGAAAATGAAATATTATTTTCTAAATATTTTTTATTAAAATGGTGTTTGTCCCTAATGTAGGAACGCAAAACCGTCATTTGGAATCCAAAATTGACCATTTGTGTGATTCATGTTAAACCGATGAGTGCTTGAAGCATGGCACTGTGTTCATTTACACGCGAGCAGCTGATGTTTTCAGTGTCTCAGAGCGGCTCGGTTTGCAGTAACCGCTGCTCCGCACAAACGTCATCTCCCCAAATTTGTTATGAGAATCTGTTGTCAACAAAACAGAAGCTTTGAGGTCTATCCTTTTATTTTTGTTTTCTGCAAAAAATAAAGCTCTGTGGTTTAACGCTTGACAAGAGAGAACTTAGGACAACCATGAATATTAGTATTGCAATTTTACTGTTGTTCTGTAAAATAAAATAAAAAGGCATATTGAATATAAGTGTAACAGAGAGTTCTGTAAAGAAAAGAAATAAATTATATATTTAATCTCTGTGTAACATTGCAGTTGACACTACAGTCACCAGCTGACCGGCAAATAGCTTTATTTTCTCACCAATTTATTTATTTATTTATTTTAATTAGGCACTTGTCAAGTGTTCATTTTGTACCTGTTGGATTTATGAATTTACTTATTTATCTACTTATTTATTTATTTAGCTACATAGCACATAAATAAAATGTAGGTTTAGTACATTAGTTTCACTGAGAATGCATTTCCCTTTGCCCTGGACATGTGAGACACATTTAATGATCTATTTTCTTCTTATAAGACACAATACCCGGCAGGCAGTGTATGGCCTCTTGTTTCTTCCTGCTGAAACAGTTTGAGGATGTGCTTATATATCTCAACTCAGTCAAGGTAATACACATATCAGAGTGTTTGGACTTGAAGCAGAAGCATTAAAAACATGGTCCCACTTTATATCAAGTGGCCTTAACTACTATGTACTTACATTTAAATTAATCATTTGGTACAATGCACTTATAGTGTACATAAATGTTTTTACATTGTATTTATTTTTGAAAAATATCTGCATGTAATTACATCTGTAATTAATTTCTGTAATTACATTTATAATTACACTGTTGACCCATCCCTTACACCTTAACCCACCCTTAATCCTACCCAAACCACCAAACCTGTCCCTAACCTTACCTGTTTCCCACCTCAATAGCAGCAAAAGTGTTTTGCAATACAATATGAACACAATAAGTACATTGTACTTATTTTTTGATGTAAGTACATAGTAGTTAAGGCCACTTAATATAAAGTGGGACCGCATCAGCATCAAACATCTATCTCGCTTCCCTGCAGAGTTACTTCTACAACGACGACATGTTCAACTTTAACTACGCTCAGGCCAAGGCTGCCCTGGGAAACTACAGGGAGGCTGAAGAGGTACAGAACAACCGTGGCTCAGTAAATATGATTTAGGAACCATCTGCAAGTATGACTAAATCTGAATTTAATGTGAACAGGTGTTCCTGCTCATCCAGAATGAGAAGATCAAGAATGATTACGTTTACCTGAGCTGGTTGGCACGCTGCTGTAGGTTCTCCTATATGTCTTTGAAAGTTCTGAACCATGGCCAACAGATCTCCTGTTCTGGGCTAGTAAAATTCGGTTTTGACTTTAAAGAAGATGAATGACTGGAATGACTGGTCTTTGGGAGCGTCTTTTACACGTCAGCTCTTTTTGATGAGTCATTTCTGTAGACGCATGAGACCTCTCGCTGTCTGATGTCATCCTCCCTCCTCTGTTCTAGACATTATGAATCAGAAGGCTCGACAGGCCTGGGAGCTCTATCTGAGACTGGAAACCTCATCTGACCCTTTCAGCCTCCTGCAGCTCATCGCAAATGACTGCTACAAGGTTCAGATTCTGATTTAGCCAGTCGTGACTATAAACACATTTTCATTCATATATCAGCTGGGTACTAATTGCTTTTTAATAAAGGCTGTAAAGGCAGTGTTAAAAACAGTAGAGTGCTAGCCATAGTGGAATAACCATTTACACATACGTTTGTGGCCGTTGTTTCTACAGCCCTGATTCTGCTTGTTGTGTCCCCCACATGGTTTTCTTCTGAAGGTTTCATTCGATTATTTATATTTCAGATGGGGCAGTTCTATTATGCAGCTAAAGCGTTTGATGCTCTAGAGAGACTGGATCAAAACCCTGAGTACTGGGAAGGGAAGCGTGGAGCATGTGTCGGGATCTTCCAGCTCATACTGGCAGGCCGAGAGTCCAGGTATGAACCAATGACATGCCTGAGGAATGAGGTGATAAATGCAATTCAACAGCTTTTATTATTTGGTTCAGATTATGAAACTAAATTCTTATTGGTTTAAACTAGACTATTATTAGTTCTACATTTAATCCAGTAAAGCCATATGAAATAATAGTCATAAAAAGCTTTTTTTTTAATTTTATTTTTATTTTTTTTAATGGAACAGTTTATTGAACCTTTAGACAAAATATTTTTAAAATTTCATATCTGCTTTTTCTGGAGAATCATATTTGATACACCAGGCTTTTATGGCTCATTTAGTATAATAAAGTGAGAAATAAAGAAGTCACATTCGAGGAGGAAAAAACACAGCTGTTTTATTCAGGCTTAAGCCGTGCAAAAATGTGCAATGTGGTGCAGTTGCTATATTTATATGGCCAAAAAGATGACATTCTGGTATCTTTTAATTTCGGGGCAAAACAATACAATTCAATACTATGATGACCGAGAGATGTACAAATAAACATTCCTTAAAAGCCTGATGTATCATATTTGTACTCGTATTTAAAAAAAAATTAAAAAAAAGATCTGTGCATAATCAATTAACAATTAGTTGCTTCCATCTAATAAGTGTTCATTTTGAGATATCACTAACAATATAAAAATAATTTTTATGATTGCTATATAAAAATCAGATTTAAGATTTTAGGACAAAAAAGTCACATGTACCACAACCTGAAGGTAGACCGTTTTAGAATTACTTTTACTTTTTTTTTACTTGCTAAAAGAGTATAAACTATCAATCAGACGACAAAGGAGTGTAGTAAACTGTGTACAACAGGTTTTTCAGCAACGTTTTGATCATATTGATAATTTAGGGGCCTTAGAAATGTATCAAATATGATGCAGTAGACTTTATAGGGTTAAAATAGACAGCCGTAGCTCACCCAAGTTTTGCAAAATTCTGTTAAATCATCTTTAACTCAAGAGAATGAGCTTTTGACCTCTGCTCATGTTTTCTATGTTTATATTTTCTTTTTTTTTTATTTGCTTTGTTTTCAGAGAGACACTGAAGGAGGTTTTGCCAATGTTGAGGAGCACTGGCAACCCACAAGTTGAGTACATCATCCGCATCATGAAGAAATGGGCCAAAGACAACAGAGTGGCTCTCTGATCGCATTTACAAATGTGCTAACACAGCAGTAGTTATTATTGGATATTTATGTAAAAAAAAATTTTTTGTATGGTATCCTTATGCTTGTTCTGTCAACAAAATATGTGATGAGTACAACAGTTAAGATGCATCTTAGAAAGAAAAAAAATCTCATGCTCTTATAAAGCTACAATAAGTGCAGCCACACTAAAACATTTACTTAATTATAAGAATTATATCTTTTTTTATTTTTATTTGCAGTTGTCAAAAAGAGAAAACTATATTTACAATGTATCCATGTCAGTGAATGTTTTCTGTGAGATGGGCAATGCAACAAATTAGTTTATATCTTTTCATACTTGAGGCAACATAAGCCTTTATTGTTTTGTCTTGGAAACAATAAATGTCTTAATTTGACAGGTTTTATACAATTATATACAGTGCTATGAAGATTCATCTGTGTTATAGTTATCTAGCTCAGGCATGATATTTGTACACCTTTAGAACAAGTGATATCAATGACTAAGGCAATTAAATTGTTTCAAAACAGGCTGTGACAATCTAACAGAAAAGATTAGAAAAATTAATGTTATCGCATCAAAAAAGAAAAATGAATTATATTGAATTGTTATTGGTAACACTTTACAATAAGGAACCAGCTGTTAACATGAACTAACAACGAGGTAACACTTTATTTTAAGGTGTCCTTGTTACTCATATTACATGTACTTACTATTATAATAACAATTAATTATGCATAATTACATGCAATTAACCCTAAACCAAACCAGCAGTAGTTATTATTGGATATTTATGTAAAAAAAAAAATTTTGTATGGTATCCTTATGCTTGTTTGTCTGTCAACAAAATATGTGATGAGTACAACAGTTAAGATGCATCTTAGAAAGAAAAAAAATCTCATGCTCTTATAAAGCTACAATAAGTGCAGCCACACTAAAACATTTACTTAATTATAAGAATTATATCTTTTTTTATTTTTATTTGCAGTTGTCAAAAAGAGAAAACTATATTTACAATGTATCCATGTCAGTGAATGTTTTCTGTGAGATGGGCAATGCAACAAATTAGTTTATATCTTTTCATACTTGAGGCAACATAAGCCTTTATTGTTTTGTCTTGGAAACAATAAATGTCTTAATTTGACAGGTTTTATACAATTATATACAGTGCTATGAAGATTCATCTGTGTTATAGTTATCTAGCTCAGGCATGATATTTGTACACCTTTAGAACAAGTGATATCAATGACTAAGGCAATTAAATTGTTTCAAAACAGGCTGTGACAATCTAACAGAAAAGATTAGAAAAATTAATGTTATCGCATCAAAAAAGAAAAATGAATTATATTGAATTGTTATTGGTAACACTTTACAATAAGGAACCAGCTGTTAACATGAACTAACAACGAGGTAACACTTTATTTTAAGGTGTCCTTGTTACTCATATTACATGTACTTACTATTATAATAACAATTAATTATGCATAATTACATGCAATTAACCCTAAACCAAACCCTAATCCTAACTCTAACCATATAGTAAATACATGCAGTTAATTTAAAATAATTACTCAGTACTTAAATTTATAATTACACTGTAACAAGGAACCTTAAAATAAAGTGTAATCAAAAATGAAAATCTTTTTATTAATCTTAGTTTGTTAATTTGACATTTACTAATACATTATTAAAATAAAAAGTTGCCTCTGTTCATATTATTTAAAGGACCTGAGCTAAAATGAAACAAAAATAGTATTTTTATTCACTTTAAAAAAATATTAATAAATACTGTAACAAATGTATTGTTTATTGTTAGTTATATTAGTTAATGCATCAACTAACGTCAAGTAATGGAACGTTATTGTTATTTGTATGTTTATTATTGTTATTATTATTTTCAAGTATTATATAAGATTAATTAAGATTATCAAGATTATATAATATATATTAAGTATTATAGCTAACTGAGACTTGTTATAGCACTTGCATATCATTGCTCTTTTGTTGATTTTGATTGCTTCCATTGTCCTCATTTGTAAGTCGCTTTGCATAAAAGCGTCTGCTAAATGTCTAAATGTAAATTTATGTAAATGTAAGTATTACCATTACATTTCCTGGGCTATTTAAATCCAAACAACAGAACCTCTTAACATATAATAAGCGCCTTTAGGAAACACCTTAAACCACATTCTGTTGGAAAACACTTTTCTCTATTAGTTCCATATCTACAGTGGGTACGGAAAGTATTCAGACCCCCTTAAATTTTTCACTCTTTGTTATATTCAATTTCAAGGGGAATCCTTTTTTTTCTACCATAACATCTCTAATTGCTCATTAGAGCGTCTGTTGCCTGTAGGCCCGCCTCTGATTGGACGCGCTGCCTCCGTCGGCGCCTTCTGATTGGCCAAGGCGCCCTCTCCGTCGCGCACGCCGTTTCCGGTGTCCCTGTGTGCGCAGGCTCAGTTCGCTCGTCTGCGCTCTTTTATTTATTTACTCTCTCTCATCTAAGATGGCTGTTCGGAGCTCCTGAGTCCCCCGAGCGAAGCGACAGAGGATGCTTGCGCCTCCAAAATCAACTTTCACCCGGCCATCCCTTCCCACGCGCACCCCGTAAGGCGCGGAGGGGACTCTAGCATCACTACCGCCTCCGAGCGCCCCTTCCATCCGGCGTGAAGCTCTTTAAATCAAGTTGTTTGGCGAAGTCGAGCCCCGCAGCTGAGTGCGACTGACTGAGGGAGGGAGGGAGTGAGTGAGTGAGTGAGTGTCTTAAGAGCACTGAACATCCAAATGGCCGAACCGAGAAAAGTGCAGTTTGTCACCCTGTTTCTTCTGTGAAACACAAAAGAAGATATTTTGAAGAATGTTGATAACCCTAACACACTTTCGGTTCCCATTTACTTCCATTGTATGGACAAAAAAACAAACAAACAATAGAAGTCAGTGGAAACTGAAACTGGAATCGAGGCAGTTCTGAAACTTTTTTTATTTATTATTTTTGGGTAGAATATCCATTTAAGTTTGAATGGAAAAAAATAAAATGTTCCAGAATAATATTGATACAGAATGTATTGTACTCATTCTGATCCACCAAGCCAAACTGGAAAAATTAAATGTCCCAACTAGCCTTACTGGAGTGATTACGCGCACACATTTTTCGTTCCACAGGCCAAGAAGAATCCACCAGATTCTAAATCTTCCCTGGACCCCAATGATCCCTTTAATGCTGATGAGAGAGAACGTCGGGAGGTCGAGGCACTGGCCAAAAAGTTTGAAAGCAAATACGTAAGTGTTGTTCTATGATTTTAAGTTGCATATTCAAATGTGTGGGCACTCAAATGCCAAATGTCAAGTTGCCGCTACCACCGACGTCCTTACAGGGAAACGCAGGGAAAAAGAGGCGGAAAGATCGGATGCAGGATTTGATTGACATTGGCTTCGGCTACGATGAGAGTGACCCCTTCATAGACAACTCGGAAGCTGTGAGTGGGCACTTGCCATGGCAACAGACAGACATCACTATGGAGATGATCGATTGGCATTTAACATGCTGTTTGCCAACTCGGTCTCATTGCTCTCTGAACTTAAGGGGTGTTTTTTTTCCCGTTCATATTGAAATCAGTGATGGATATATTTAGATTTACCTTATGGATTGATTTGAACTGTGTGGTTGAGTCATTTTTGCCATCATAGCGGCCTAAAACTTTGCCATAACCTCAGAAATGCAGACAACAAACGGTGTAAATCTTTGTGTTTTCTTCCTGTCAGTATGATGAGCTTGTTCCAGCCTCCCTGACCACCAAGCTTGGTGGATTCTACATTAATACGGGTACTTTGCAGTTCAGAGCTGCCTCTGAATCTGAGGGAGAGGATGGGGGCAAAGAAGAAAAATCCAGGGTGAGTTTACGTTGTTTTTGCCAAATGACCCTGTGCACACCTGGTTATTAATGTCCATCGTGGGTGATCCAGTCAGTTGAGATAGATAGACATTGACACTGGGTTTTATTATACATCTGCAATGTATCTCGTTAGACCACTTGTGATGTTGTCAAAGGGAGGATCTCTGATTTCTCTTAATATGCTAAAGCAAAGAATTGACATACTGTTGCTCCTAAATGCTTGTTTTAAATGTAATCTTACCACAAACGGGTGTATGTGTATAAGGTTGGCTTTTCCAAATCAGATCAGATTAAGGAGCATGAAATCTTCTGAAAGGAGTTTAAAACCCTTCGCGTGTGACTTTATTCAGATGTGGTTTGAGTGACCAGATCACAAAACAATTTGAACCCCATTTACTCTTCTATTTATAATATCTGTCTCGACTGAACCCTTGTGATCAGATCACCCCAGACGGATGTTGTTACCATGTGTAAACAGGGCCACTAAATGATATATAGACCTGTTAAAGAGACAGTTCACCCAAAAATTAAAATTCAACCTAATGTCGTTGCGTACCCATAAGACTTTTGGTGATCTTTTAAAACATATGAACAGAGTGGTTTAAACACTTTAATCATATGCTTTAATTGTTTTTTTTAACAATATTTTTATTAACTTTTTTCAAGTTTTGGTGGAGGGACAGAAATCTCTCACGTTTCAATAAAATATCCTCATTTGTGTTTCAAAGATTAACCAGATCTTATGGGTTTGGAGCGATGAGGGTGAGTAAGGGCAGAATTGCCATCCGTTTTTCATAAAACCCTAATTATGACGTTTGTAGATGAGAGATGGAGAGGAACCACTGATAAAAAAAAGGAAGAAGAAAGATGCAACCAGTATAGAGGAGAAAAAACCCAGACGTAAGTATTGTTCTATGATTTTACGTTGCATTTTCAGACGTGTGGGCACTCAAATGTCACGTTGCCGCTACCGCTGACGTCCTTACAGGGTAACGCAGGGAAAAAGAGGCGGAAAGATCGGATGCAGGATTTGATTGACATTGGCTTCGGCTACGATGAGAGTGACCCCTTCATAGACAACTCGGAAGCTGTGAGTGGGCACTTGCCATGGCAACAGACAGACATCACTATGGAGATGATCGATTGGCATTTAACATGCTGTTTAGTGTTTACCAACTCTGTCTCATTGCTCTCTGAACTTAAGGGGTGTTTTTTTTCCCGTTCATATTGAAATCAGTGATGGATATATTTAGATTTACCTTATGGATTGATTTGAACTGTGTGGTTGAGTCATTTTTGCCATCATAGCGGCCTAAAACTTTGCCATAACCTCAGAAATGCAGACAACAAACAGTGTGAATCATTGTGTCTTCTTCCTGTCAGTATGATGAGCTTGTTCCAGCCTCCCTGACCACCAAGCTTGGTGGATTCTACATTAATACGGGTACTTTGCAGTTCAGAGCTGCCTCTGAATCTGAGGGAGAGGATGGGGGCAAAGAAGAAAAATCCAGGGTGAGTTTACGTTGTTTTTGCCAAATGACCCTGTGCACACCTGGTTATTAATGTCCATCGTGGGTGATCCGGTCAGTTGAGATAGATAGACATTGACACTGGGTTTTATTATACATCTGCAATGTATCTCGTTAGACCACTTGTGATGTTGTCAAAGGGAGGATCTCTGATTTCTCTTAATATGCTAAAGCAAAGAATTGACATACTGTTGCTCCTAAATGCTTGTTTTAAA